CCACTGCGCGTAGAACCTTAGTGAACGCTGTGTACTGCAAGCAATTGCGCAGATTAGGACAAGATGAATTGAAGCAGCTGCTAACAGTTCAATGCTTATTTGATAGACACGTGAACAATTTATTGTGTTCGCTGGCACTCGATGATTACTAATGTTTTCACGTGTCAGGGGTCCGTGACTAATAATAACGGTGTCTGAATTGGATTTTATCTCTGGAGGGGGGGGCAGTGTTTCTAGAGGAAATGTCATGCAAGCGTTACAACAAGAAAAAGTGCGAAGATCAGAAGGAACATCACGGCTACAAGATTGGAACATGGAATGTACAGACCTTGAATCAAGCAGGCAAATTGGAGAATTTGAAAAAGGAAATGCAGAAGAATGAGGTGTCTGTTTTAGGTGTCAGTGAAGTGCGGTGGAAAGGACAAGGTGAAATAAGAAGTGGTGATTATACAGTGCATTATTGTGGAGGTGAATGGGCTGAAAGAGGTGTGGCAATAGTGGTGCATAAAAGTGTAGTGAGGAGTGTTGTTAAGAAGATTGTAATGGCAGAATTATTGCTCTGAAGTTAAAGGTGGAACCGGAAGATAGACTGATTATGCAAGTGTACATGCCAACACAGAGTATGAAGATGATGAAGTGGAAAAAGCATATGACACAATTGAAGAAATTCTTCAGGAAGATGGAAGAGGTGACACAAACAGCATCATATTGGGAGACTGGAATAGCACTGTTGGAGATGAACCATATCAGAATATTGTTGGATCACATGGACTAGGAAGACGGAATCACAGGGGTCAAATGCTTATTGACTTTTGTGAACGAAATGGACTGATTGTTACCAACACTTGGCTCAAGAAGCAAAAGAGAATACTTTACACATGGAAGGCACCTGGGGATTGGAGGCGGCATCAGCTGGACTACATCCTTGTGAAACATTGAATCAGAAACAGTGTGAAGGATGTGAAGACGCTGCCTGGGGCAGATATTGACTCTGACCACAACTTACTGGTTGCCAAGTGTCGAACCATGTTGAAGAAAATTATAAGATTCCAAAAGCGCAGACCTAGATGGGATTTGGAGAAGTTATATGTTCAAAGACAAAGCGTGCAGGGAACTCTAGAAGAGGAACTCAGTGAAATTGAAAGTGAAAGAGGAAATCCTGAAGTGCAGTGGAACAATATAAAAGAATGCATGTTAGATACTATTAGTGATATGGTTGGTAAAGTTGAGAAGATAGCAAGAAAACCATGGGTTACACAGGAGATGATGAGTAAAATGGAGGAGCGAAGGAAATGGAAGAATGTAAACAATGAAGAAGGCAGGAGGAAATACAGGAGACTGAGGAATGAATTGAAAGGAACCATGGACAGGTCCAAAAAGGAATATCTTGAGAAGATATGTAATGAGATTATAGAATTTCAAAGAACAGGACGTTATGATTTTTATGTACACGAAGAAAAAAGAACTAGGATGGAAAGAGAAACATGGGATTCAAAATAATGGCATCGAAGACTCCCAGGGGAATAGAATAGTAGATCAGAGGAAAGTGCTGAAAATGTGGGAAAATTATATTACAGAACTATATGATCGACTTAATCGGCCAGAAACCTTGGAAGTGGAACCG